CGTGAACACGTGGTCCACGCACCCCCTCTACTCTCGGAAACCTGCCTGGCCCTCACTTATGCTATGTTCCTTCTCCAATACTCCCACTATCCTATCGTTCAGCAGCTTACAGAACACTTTTCCTACTGTGTTCAACAGTGTGATCCCCCTGTAGTTTCCTGGGTCAGTCTTGTCTCCTTTCTTGAACAAGTTCACAACCACTCCTTCCCTCCATCTACTTGGCGTATACTCGTTTTTCCACACCCAATTGTATAGCAGTACCATCAGCTGGATCATCCCCTTCCCCCCAAACTTCATGAACTCGTTGACTATCCCATCCGCTCCTGCTGCTTTGTGGTACTTCAGCTTGTTCACACACGCCTCAACCTCATCCTCAGTGAACTCCTTTTCTAGTTCTACGTTCCCAACGTCTGCCTTCGTTGTCTCTTCTTTTTTTTTGGGGGGGGTTCACAATTGCACCCCCTTCAGACGACGCAACTTCATGCCGCTAGTGGAACCACTGCTGCCGCAAAGCGCGAACAACTACTCCGATGCGCTGCTGCGGTCGATACTCGGTTGCGACAAGGCGACAGCCAAAAACGTGAGCATCCTTCAGAACGCGGCCATCTCGTACGCGTGCTCCGTGATCAAGCGCGCGAACGGCACAACATCTCAACCAATAGGATACCGAGCGTGCTGTGCGCCGGCGACCATCCTCCTCTTGGATCTGGTGCAAAGCCGCCAACGCGACTGACAGCACTGTTGCTTCCAGCAGATCGTCGCCGGTCCCCATATCGGGCGCACCGCGCTGACAACAAAGCACCGGGTCTGCGCGTGTGAGGCGCTGTGCCAGGCTGTCACGCGCTGTGCTGTGCTGTGCTGTGCTGTGCTGTGCTGTGCTGTGCTGTGCTGCGCTGTTGTGCTCTGTCGGGTGCTTCCAGCGACCAAATATAGCAGGTGTGGTGGGGGGTCTGTGTGATGCATCCCCCCCCCCCTACTTCCGATTCCCCGGTGTTGCCATCGGGGTTGGGTTTTCGTCGCTTGGCAACGACGTTGTAAAACAAGCCAATTCACTTCGTGAACTCGGCAACCAGGTT